CGCCCCCCCCGGGCCCGCACCCCGGACAGTGTCCCCCGTCTTGCCCCCCGTGGCAGGCATCCATGCGGTGGGAGGACCACCCGGCCGACCTGCAGCTGAAGGCGTGCTGGCTGGCGGCGGCGGGGGGGGAGCCCGTGCCGCGGGGGGGGGGCGGGGGGAGCCGGTGCTGCTGGTGCAGGGCGGGGAGGCACGTGGCACGGGGGGGACAGTGCTGGAGGGCCCCCCCAGCAGCCACGGGAGGAAGGTCTGGCGCTTCCGCTTCACCTACGCCATCCCCGAGGGCGGGCGCATCCCCTTCTCTGCCACCCTCAAGTGCAAGGCCGGCTTGCAGGTCAGCGTGAGTAGATCCCCACCCCACGATGCCACCGTGCTGGTCCCCACCATCGGCGGTGGCAGCCTGGCGGGTTTGTCCCACGCTGCTGGGAGGCAGAGCCCGGCCGGGAGCAGCATCCCCGGTCCCCAAAGAGCCTGGGGGCTCCCAGCCCTGTCCCCCTGCCAGAGTGCAGGTCCCCCCTCTCTCACCCCAACCTCCACCTCTGCAGAACAACACCATCTTCGAGAAGGTCCTGGAGGTGACGGTGAAGGACAGCTGGCGGCCACCCAACAGTGAGTTTGGGGCAGGGGAGGGGGCTGGGGCTGGAGAATGGGGGTGGGAAGGGGACCCCCCCAGCATGGTGGTGCTGACGGCCTCATCCTCCCGCAGACCGCGGGCTGGGGCTGGCCGCCGTCCTGGGCATCACCTTCGGCGCCTTCCTCATCGGAGCACTCCTCACAGCCGGGCTCTGGTACATCTATTCACACACCCGTGAGTACCCACCATCCCTGGGGACCCCCGCAGTGGGATGGGGGGGCCACACACATGTCCCTTGCTGGGTTGCCCATGTTCCCCCGGGCCCAAAGCCCCCTGGCCAAGGTCCCCAGGTGAGCCACGGACCAGGCTGCTGTGTTGCCATCACCCGTATGGCCCTCCTGGCAACGCCACAGAGGAATAACCCCACTCGGGGTGGCCACAGCTCCCCAAGATCCCCCCCCTACTGCCCTGGGGTCCCCCCTGCCATCTGCCCTCCCTCCCACTCCTGGTGCCACCATGGTCCCCCATGCCCATCTCTATCCCAGGGGCTCAGGGGCCAGCTGGGGAGCGATCGGGGAGCGTTCGTGCATGGGGGCTGGAAGGTCCTGTGGGGACAAGCCATGGCCACCACCGGCCGCCCTGAGTCTGGTTTCCCCTTGGTGTTTCTCCCCCCACCGCGGCCCCACGGCGGGCGGCATGAGCCAGGTCCCATCTCCAAACTGCAGCCAGTTTCCAGCACAGCGCCAGCCTCGGAGAGCAGCAGCACCAACCACAGCATCGGCAGCACCCAGAGCACCCCCTGCTCCACCAGCAGCATGGCCTGACCCCTCCGGGCCCCCCCGGGCTCACCCAGCCCCTGGCCGCCGGACTTGGGGACCCTCCCCAGCCCCATTAAGCTGTTTTTTTGTCCCAAATCTCAGGCCAAGCCCGGAGGGGGCCTCCGTTACTCATTCAGTGAATGCTTTCGCCC